TTCAACCGTAATTTTACAAAGCTACGAGAATACTTTTTGTATGCAAAAGAAAAAAAAAAGACTTTATTCAACAATTTGTCTCCTCCGCATCACCCTAGCGCCATTTTGGAGAGTATCCACTGAACACAAACAGCGTATGTTGTTCTGTGTCAGCCATACCACACGGATACGTTGTTTTCGTTCAAATCAAAGCGTAAACACATAGTAAACAGATCCGGCGTGACGCAGCTGACACAGAACAGCATACGCTGTTTACGTCCAGCTGACATTCTCCAAAATGGCACCAGGGTGATGCGGAGGAGACGAATTGTTGAATAAAGTTGTTATATTTTTTCTTTTGCGCACAAAAGTATTCTCGTAGCTTTGTATATTTGCGGTTGAACCCCTGATGTCACATGGATTATTTTATAGATCTCCTTGCTACGTTTCTGGACTTGGGAACATTTCAGTTGTGTTGCTGTCTATGGGAGGGTCAGAGAGCTCTCAGATTCCATCAAAAATATCTTAATTTGTGTTACGAAGATGAACGAATGTCTTACGGGTTTGAAACGACATGAGGGTGAGTAATTAATGACAGAATTTTCATTTTTGGGTGAACTATCCCTTTAAGTGCATCATGATAATGGCAAACTCCAATACACAGTTGAAATACAGGCCTTCTCCTTCATCATTGCAGAATTCCATCCGCCACAACCTGTCGCTGAACAAATGCTTTATAAAAGTCCCAAGACAAAAGGATGAGCCAGGCAAAGGTGGGTTCTGGAAGATCGACCCCCAGTACGCAGAACGCCTCCTCAACGGTGCCTACAAGAAGCGCAGGATGCCCCCTGTGCAGATCAACCCAGCTCTTCAGAACCACCTCAGGATGAGCTCTCACGCTGGACAAACTGCAGCCACTACAGGGATGGCCAGAAACCTTTGCGTGAGTCCTGAGTCCCAACAGCTCCTGAAAGAGTTTGAGGACGTCACGGGAGCCGATCAGAACTGGGACCCTCGTTTGGCTGAAGCCACCATGTTGAGTTGTTGGGTCTCAGGGAAGGGGAGCAAGAGGAAACAGCCGTACACCCACAGGACTGGTGGGAGCAAAGCTCCACGACGTTCAAGTTCCCCACTGCTGGCCATGGACGAGCAGGAGGACTTAAGCTCCCTGAAGGGCAACTTTGACTGGGACGCCCTGCTAGACTCTGCCCTGAATGGAGAGTTAAGCTTGAATGAAGGGGGTCCGTTGAGCCCTATACCACAAGATGAGGACTTGATGGTTAGAGGCACCCATATCAGCCCCCTCGAACCACCTGGAGGTGTCATTGAGAGCCATGTGTTGATGGAAACCCAGAGGAGCAGCGAAGCAGACTTTGATGAGGAAACCTTCCTGGCCACTGCATTTCTCCAGAGTCCCTGGTCGGAAGTGGAAGAAGGCAACCGTCCCGACTTCCTCTGTAGCTCAACGGTCAACATCGATCAACTCTTCGACCTGGGAGACTCTCTCGGAGGAGACTTAAGCAGCAAGATCGAGTCTCTCCTTTGAAGAGGTCATTAGTGACACTTGAGATTCAGGCACAAACAAGTCAAAGAACAAAGAGGGTTCGGACTGTTTACCCCCAAAGATTTCATGCTGGATTCCATGAAGCCCACGTGAAGATGTATTTTTAAAAGTGTATCTATTTCTAAGACTGATTTTTATGATTATGTTTTTGTATTTGACACGTTATCTACCTGCATTAAAGCTAATCTAATCAAGTTCCTCAGCGAGTCCTTAAAATCATCTATCAAATGCTTGGAACATGGGATTCGGAGACTGAACATGTACGGACAGCACTGGAAGTAGATGCAAGCTTGTTGTTTACCATTCAAATTTACATACCAGAACATAATTTAAGAAATGAACAGTTCAAACACCTTGTGGATGAAGTCAAACATGTTATACAAGTTTTATCATATTCAAACAAATTCCTGAAGCAGAACTTTAAATCAACTGTGCAAATGAAATTGTGCATCACGCCACCTTACGACGGCAAACAATGTACTTTCAGTGAACACAAGAACAATAAAAGTTCTTTATTGGCATTCTTGGTTCCATAAAGAACCTTTAATGTCCATGGGATCTTTCCATGGTACAAAATGTTCTTTATAGTGAAAAAAAAAGGTTCTTTGGATGATTAAGATATTCTTCACACTAAGAAATAATGGTTGTTTTAAGAGCTGTTCACTGGAAGGTTCTTTGGGGAACCAAAAGTGGTTCTTCTGGCATTGCAAAAGGTTCCTTTCGGAACCTTTATTTTTAAGAGTGCGTTTAATGCTGTTAAGTGCCGTTGATCTCATGAAGTCCCCAGGGCTACATATTTTGGATGTCCAACCTGATTTATATCATCAGCTAATTGGTGGAGGCTCCAAGACCTGAACTGGATGTGCCAGATAAAGGAGACATCCATAATGTGCTGTTCCTGGGGTCCTCCAAACCAGGACTTTTGGATGAAACTGAATTGTTTGGGCTTATAGACAACAAAAGAGCTGTTTTTAGCGCCGAATGGCTGATATGATGACAATGGTGTATTTTGATAGTGTAACTGCACTAATTTAATGAATGGGATTTGGGGGTTCCTGCCCATGTTGGGTTGTTTGGTTGGTAAACGTGTGTGTGCCAAACTTTCTCTCTTGCAGCTGAATTCTGGCTCTGATAGATTTCTACATGCACATCTAACCACTTTCACGCACATATTGTGTTATGAGTGTTACGCTGATATCATACAAATGATATTTCACGTCAAGACTACTTTTATCTTCTTAATTTAGACCATTAACACTGATACACCTACAATGATGCCTACAAAGTGTTTAGCCTATTTGAACATACTGTACTTCAGATTAAAATATAAGACAGATAACTCATGTTGTGTGTGTGTGTTGTGTAAAGGGCTTCAAAAAGATCTAAAGCTGAATTGTTTTCTCAGAGCGACATCTTTTGCTCAGTTCATGCTCAATTCCGCTCCATTTGTGCTCTTGCTTTTATTATGCAATGGGAGGGACGTCAAACAGAGCAAGACAGTGTATGTGTGTGATTTACACAAGCATCTCTCTGCTTGTCTTATTTTGCGGCTGTCGCTCTCTGTGTGTGGGGGTGTTTAGGGCTTTGTTTGTGCTCAGTGAGATTCTTGTACCCCCCAGAGTTCCAGTCAGGCCTACCCTCGCTCGACCCATGTGGGGTCTGACGGGGACGACGTCCCACGCCCTCATATATCACTGTGCTTTTACATAGACCAACAGGACCTTCATATTGGGAAGCTGGGAAGCACTTGGTTTGGACCTCATAAAAAGTTTTCATTGTATGCTGAACAGTCATTTGTTGGGAGATGCTCACAAAATCTGTCAACAACATGGTTTGGATCAAAATCCGATGAAAGAAAGAAGAAGAATATTCCAGATGTGTTCCAAATGTAATAAATAAATACCTTTAGGATGGATATTGTATACTGTATACTGACAAATATCCTTTGGGTTGTCACCCCTCTCAGGAAAGCTCTGGGATAACCAATCCAAGCTGGAATAGTCTTTCCAGGTAAAGTGTACTCGTAATTATAATGTGGTGGCTTGGTCAGATGAGAGGCCCTGTAACCAGATCCAGGTATTATCCTGCAGTCTTGCTGATAGCTACAGGTAAGGAGAGTCCACTGATGAAATGCTAAACCTGTTGCTTTTGTCTTTCACTCTAACAATGTTCAAAACTAAAAGTGTAAAAAGGCTTCTAAGTAAGAGCCAATGTAATCAAAATACAGCCAAGCAATAATGGTTGTGTGTTTCAAGCCTAAGCTGAGAATGTTTTTTTTTTTCAAACTGAATTTAAAAGAATCGAAATTTTGATTTAAGTAAGTGGAATTAAAATGGAATGAAATTAAGAATTCATAAAGGTTTCATTCTTCAGTGCAGTTTCCCTGCAAACATCATACACAAGCAACTTATTTCAGAAACATTAGATGATCTTAATGATGAATGTTTATGATTCCACATACAGTATTAATTTATTCGCTACTAAAACTGGGGTCAATTTTTTATTTATTTTTTTCAAAGAAATTAATAGTCTTATTCAGGATTCATTAACTTGACCAAAACAGTACCGATTTTTACATTGTTACAAACAAATCTTTTCCAAATAATGCTATTCTTTTGAACTATTCTATCTAACGGTTTAAATCAGCACATTAGAATGATTTCTGAAGGATCATGTGACACTGAAGACTAAAAATTCAGCTTTGCATCACAGGAATAAATTACAGTTCAAAATATATTAAAATGGAAAACAGTTATTTTAAATTTTAATATTATTTCACATTATTACTGTTTTTTTCAGTTCTTTAATCAAATAAATGCAGCCTTGGTGAGCATAAGAGACAAAAACATTTAAAAAAAATCCTTTCTGGCCCAAAACATTTAAATGGTGGCGTATATAATTTTCATTAAATGTAATAAATTAAAATATTTTTTCCAAAATGCTGTTAAAAAATGTGGTCATTATTGATTTTTAATTTAAATAAATAGTCAGAATTAATGACATAATTTTTAATGTTTTGTCAAAATGTTTTAAAACAAAGTATCTTGTGTATACCTGTTTACTTTAAAAGATGGCAACCTGAAAAAACGAATGGTTTTATGGCCAAATTTTTATGAAATCACTGAATCAAGTTACTACAAACTACACCAACAAAACAATTTTTATGGCTTTAATATAGGCAGCAAAAGCTCTTTATCCAATTCTATTCAGATTCACACTGATTGAAATGGAGCCAATTCTCATATTCTGAATTTTTCTCAAGTCTGTTTGACGTCACACAAGGGAAATGTTATTCAGTGAAAGAAAACATTCAGAAAGGCAGGATGCCCCCTGTGCAGATCAACCCAGCTCTTCAGAACCGCCTCAGGATGAACTCTCACGCTGGACAAGCTGCAGCCACCGCAGGGATGGCCAGAAACCTTTGCGTGAGTCCCGAGTCCCAGCAGCTCCTGAAAGAGTTCGAGGAAGCCACGGGAGCCGATCAGAACTGGGACCCTCGTTTGGCTGAAGCCACCATGTTGAGTTGTTGGGTCTCAGGGAAGGGGAGCAAGAGGAAACAGCCGTACACCCACAGGACTGGTGGGAGCAAAGCTCCACGACGTTCAAGCTCCCCACTGCTGGCCATGGATGAGCAGGAGGACTTAAGCTCCCTGAAGGGCAACTTTGACTGGGACGCCCTGCTAGACTCTGCCCTGAATGGAGAGTTAAGCTTGAATGAAGGGGGTCCGTTGAGCCCTATACCACAAGATGAGGACTTGATGGTTAGAGGCACCCATATCAGCCCCCTCGAACCACCTGGAGGTGTCATTGAGAGCCATGTGTTGATGGAAACCCAGAGGAGCAGCGAAGCAGACTTTGATGAGGAAACCTTCCTGGCCACTGCATTTCTCCAGAGTCCCTGGTCGGAAGTGGAAGAAGGCAACCGTCCCGACTTCCTCTGTAGCTCAACGGTCAACATCGATCAACTCTTCGACCTGGGAGACTCTCTCGGAGGAGACTTAAGCAGCAAGATCGAGTCTCTCCTTTGAAGAGGTCATTAGTGACACTTGAGATTCAGGCACAAACAAGTCAAAGAACAAAGAGGGTTCGGACTGTTTACCCCCAAAGATTTCATGCTGGATTCCATGAAGCCCACGTGAAGATGTATTTTTAAAAGTGTATCTATTTCTAAGACTGATTTTTATGATTATGTTTTTGTATTTGACATGTTATCTACCTGCATTAAAGCTAATCTAATCAAGTTCCTCAGCGAGTCCTTAAAATCATCTATCAAATGCTTGGAACATGGGATTCGGAGACTGAACATGTACGGACAGCACTGGAAGTAGATGCAAGCTTGTTGTTTACCATTCAAATTTACATACCAGAACATAATTTAAGAAATGAACAGTTCAAACACCTTGTGGATGAAGTCAAACATGTTATACAAGTTTTATCATATTCAAACAAATTCCTGAAGCAGAACTTTAAATCAACTGTGCAAATGAAATTGTGCATCACGCCACCTTACGACGGCAAACAATGTACTTTCAGTGAACACAAGAACAATAAAAGTTCTTTATTGGCATTCTTGGTTCCATAAAGAACCTTTAATGTCCATGGGATCTTTCCATGGTACAAAATGTTCTTTATAGTGAAAAAAAAAGGTTCTTTGGATGATTAAGATATTCTTCACACTAAGAAATAATGGTTGTTTTAAGAGCTGTTCACTGAAAGGTTCTTTGGGGAACCAAAAGTGGTTCTTCTGGCATTGCAAAAGGTTCCTTTCGGAACCTTTATTTTTAAGAGTGCGTTTAATGCTGTTAAGTGCCGTTGATCTCATGAAGTCCCCAGGGCTACATATTTTGGATGTCCAACCTCATTTATATCATCAGCTAATTGGTGGAGGCTCCAAGACCTGAACTGGATGTGCCAGATAAAGGAGACATCCATAATGTGCTGTTCCTGGGGTCCTCCAAACCAGGACTTTTGGATGAAACTGAATTGTTTGGGCTTATAGACAACAAAAGAGCTGTTTTTAGCGCCGAATGGCTGATATGATGACAATGGTGTATTTTGATAGTGTAACTGCACTAATTTAATGAATGGGATTTGGGGGTTCCTGCCCATGTTGGGTTGTTTGGTTGGTAAACGTGTGTGTGCCAAACTTTCTCTCTTGCAGCTGAATTCTGGCTCTGATAGATTTCTACATGCACATCTAACCACTTTCACGCACATATTGTGTTATGAGTGTTACGCTGATATCATACAAATGATATTTCACGTCAAGACTACTTTTATCTTCTTAATTTAGACCATTAACACTGATACACCTACAATGATGCCTACAAAGTGTTTAGCCTATTTGAACATACTGTACTTCAGATTAAAATATAAGACAGATAACTCATGTTGTGTGTGTGTGTTGTGTAAAGGGCTTCAAAAAGATCTAAAGCTGAATTGTTTTCTCAGAGCGACATCTTTTGCTCAGTTCATGCTCAATTCCGCTCCATTTGTGCTCTTGCTTTTATTATGCGATGGGAGGGACGTCAAATAGAGCGAGACAGTGTGTGTGGGATTTACACAAGCATCTCTCTGCTTGTCTTATTTTGAGGGTGTCGCTGTCTGTGTGGGGTGGGTGTTTAGGGCTTTGTTTGTGCTCAGTGAGATTCTCGTACCCCCCAGAGTTCCAGTCAGGCCTGCCCTCGCTCGACCCATGTGGGGTCTGACGGGGACGACGTCCCACGCCCTCATATATCACTGTGCTTTTACATAGACCAACAGGACCTTCATATTGGGAAGCTGGGAAGCACTTGGTTTGGACCTCATAAAAAGTTTTCATTGTATGCTGAACAGTCATTTGTTGGGAGATGCTCACAAAATCTGTCAACAACATGGTTTGGATCAAAATCCGATGAAAGAAAGAAGAAGAATATTCCAGATGTGTTCCAAATGTAATAAATAAATACCTTTAGGATGGATATTGTATACTGTATACTGACAAATATCCTTTGGGTTGTCACCCCTCTCAGGAAAGCTCTGGGATAACCAATCCAAGCTGGAATAGTCTTTCCAGGTAAAGTGTACTCGTAATTATAATGTGGTGGCTTGGTCAGATGAGAGGCCCTGTAACCAGATCCAGGTATTATCCTGCAGTCTTGCTGATAGCTACAGGTAAGGAGAGTCCACTGATGAAATGCTAAACCTGTTGCTTTTGTCTTTCACTCTAACAATGTTCAAAACTAAAAGTGTAAAAAGGCTTCTAAGTAAGAGCCAATGTAATCAAAATACAGCCAAGCAATAATGGTTGTGTGTTTCAAGCCTAAGCTGAGAATGTTTTTTTTTTCAAACTGAATTTAAAAGAATCGAAATTTTGATTTAAGTAAGTGGAATTAAAATGGAATGAAATTAAGAATTCATAAAGGTTTCATTCTTCAGTGCAGTTTCCCTGCAAACATCATACACAAGCAACTTATTTCAGAAACATTAGATGATCTTAATGATGAATGTTTATGATTCCACATACAGTATTAATTTATTCGCTACCAAAACTGGGGTCTTATTCAGGATTCATTAACTTGAACAAAACAGTACCGATTTTTACATTGTTACAAACAAATCTTTTCCAAATAATGCTATTCTTTTGAACTATTCTATCTAACGGTTTAAATCAGCACATTAGAATGATTTCTGAAGGATCATGTGACACTGAAGACTAAAAATTCAGCTTTGCATCACAGGAATAAATTACAGTTCAAAATATATTAAAATGGAAAACAGTTATTTTAATAATTAATATTATTTCACATTATTACTGTTTTTTTCAGTTCTTTAATCAAATAAATGCAGCCTTGGTGAGCATAAGAGACAAAAACATTTAAAAAAAATCCTTTCTGGCCCAAAACATTTAAATGGTGGCGTATATAATTTTCATTAAATGTAATAAATTAAAATATTTTTTCCAAAATGCTGTTAAAAAATGTGGTCATTATTGATTTTTAATTTAAATAAATAGTCAGAATTAATGACATAATTTTTAATGTTTTGTCAAAATGTTTTAAAACAAAGTATCTTGTGTATACCTGTTTACTTTAAAAGATGGCAACCTGAAAAAACGAATGGTTTTATGGCCAAATTTTTATGAAATCACTGAATCAAGTTACTACAAACTACACCAACAAAACAATTTTTATGGCTTTAATATAGGCAGCAAAAGCTCTTTATCCAATTCTATTCAGATTCACACTGATTGAAATGGAGCCAATTCTCATATTCTGAATTTTTCTCAAGTCTGTTTGACGTCACATCAGGGAAATGTTATTCAGTGAAAGAAAACATTCAGAAAGGAGAGCAAATATCAAAGAGGTTACTGTAACGGGAGGCCGTTTGTCAGACGGTTGAGTCAGACGTCAGACTGTGGGATGAGGAGTGCTACTACATTGTTGTGAATATGAGCCACTGGGCAAGCTGTGGCTTCAGGACGGGGTTGCGCCGTTTCCCGCACAACTCCATTGGTATTCTGCTTCTGTGTAGCACAAGAAGAGCCGCTGATGTCTCGGACAGCCCTCATGTGCTCAACCGATCCCCATCATCCAGACACAAGAGACGGGGGGTGGAGCGTGAAGCAGAGAGGGAGAGGAGCAGCGAATACATCTTTTTTATCACATGGGCCGTGAAAGGCCAGTCTCCTGGGCAACTACTGGTGCTATTGTCATGAGGGCCGAGCACAAAATGGGCAAGGGTCCATAACAGTCCCTGCAGCCAGGGGTGGGGGGTTTGATTAGGGAGGGTTGGCAGGGGTCTGGTGGCCACTGAGATTTATTAAGGTGATGCCGAATGTCTTTGTGAAAGTGCACTTACCTTCCAGAGTAGAGCCTGAAAAGGGAAACATGTTATTTCTTTCTTATCAAGGGTTTACTATGTGCTTGAAAATGTGTCTTAAAGGGATAGTTCCCCCAAAAATGAAAATTTGCTGTTAATTTACTCCGCCTCAGGCCATCCAAGATGTAGGTGACTTTACACAGTAAAGAAGATTTATAAAATGCAAGTCAGATAAACCATTTAATTTGAGCTGGTAATCCCTTAAGAATGGAAATAAATGATTATTCTTCCAAATCATTTGACCTCCAAGTGGCCCTTAATCATCTCCAAATAACCCTGATGAAATGACCAGCTCACAGTGAAGTTCTTTTCTTTCTTCTCTTAGGGATGAAAAAAGTTGGAAATACCTACTGTTAGTGAACATCCCAACGCCATCCACACTGCTGAGAGTGACATTTAGATGAATATGGGAATATGTGCTGCATGCTTTCCTCTCAATAACAAAATAAATGACAGCGGTAAGAAAGCATCAGTTAAAGGGTTAGTTCACCTAAAAATTAAAATTCTGTCATTAATTACTCACCCACATGTCGTTCCAAACCTGTAAGACCTTCGTTCATCTTCAGAACACAAATGAAGATATTTTTGATGAAATCCGAGAGCTTTCTGACCCTGCATACACAGCAACGCAACTGAAACGTTCAAAGCCCAAAAAGGTAGTAAGGACATCGTTAAAGCAGTCCATGTCCACGCACTCTCTAAACAAACTTTGTTTTGGCCCGATTTTGTCCGGGATGAAGTCACACCAGTTTTGATTTTCGCTTAAAGTATATTGGGGCCTTTATTATCACTATTACCGTTATATCTAGAACACTCTTATACAATTTAAATAAACCTCTAAGTATTGAAAACTGAATGAATGTGGCATGCTGAGAAGAGGTGAGTTATTACATTTCTAGTCAATCAGACTAATGGTTTTCACATAGCAACACCCTAACAACCACCAGAATACCCTTAGCAACCATATAGCAATGTACTTACAACCATAAAGAATATCTAGTTTCAATTCAATGAAGTTCCTTTGTGGAAAAAAAAACAATTTAGCATACTTTAAAAAAAGAGTACTTAATATGGAAATAATATACTTTAAAAGAATATGCTTAAAGGGATAGTTCACCCAAAAATGAAAATTTGCCCATGAATTACTCACCCTCAAGGCATCCTCCGGAGCTGCTTCCGTGTACAACTGTTGGCGCAAGCTACATTAAAGTGATTATTACGTTTTGAATATGGATATTTTTCTTACAAAAATGCATCGATTCGCTACAGGAGGCCTTTGTTCACCCCCCGGAGCCGTGTGAGAGACTATTTATTATGGACGGATGCGCTTTATTTCACT